CAAAGATCGCAGGCATACGGTTTCTCTCCAGTATGGATGCGGCGGTGTTTGCTCAGAGAACTTGACGTAGTAAAGCTGTTCCCACATTCGTCACACACGAAGGGATGTGCGCCACTGTGCTTTCGATTATGAGCTACCAACTCGCCTTTTGATACAAATCTGTCAAAATGAATACTTCATTATTACTATCTATATTTAACAGTGGTAGAGCCCGCTTTAACATCTCCGCACGAATCGGCCCGGCTCGCCCGGTGAAATACCACGACCACACAGAAGACAGGCGTGAAGTGGAAGCAATTCCGCGTTTCGTCTGATGAGTGTGCGTCCCGGAGGCCTTATTTAGTCCTCTTTCCCTTCCCACCCTTTTTTTATATGGAAAGGATGGGAAGTGGAAGTGGACTTTCCGGATGAGAGGATGCATGGAAAGGGAAAATATTTTCTTTCTGTGCATCCTCTCCTCCGTCGATTAAAGGTAGGCAACGCATATGCAATTGCGTATGTCTATGGGCAACGGTCACTTCGCTATTTCAGCGATTTCAGGTGGCCGCTCGCTCGTTTGCCACCTTATGATATAAAAAAAAAAAAAAAAAAAAAAAATATCGTGAATGTTTACCCAACAATATCTAAAAGATAGTATCACTTTTTTCTATTGTTATTAGTTAAATACGTCCACTAAATGTGAATGTTCAATTTTAAAAATGTACACATCAAAAACTTACCTTTGTTCACAATTTTCACACTTAAAGAGCTTTAGCCCTTGGTGTCGCCGCATGTGCTGAGTTAAATTATTCTTCTGACTGAAGCCCTTCCCGCAATCCGAGCACAGGAAAGGTTTCTCTCCGGTATGGGTCCGAATGTGGTCCTTTAATGTAGACAACACATAAAAAGCTTTGTCACACATAGGACACTGATGTCGTTTTTCCACTTTATGAGCTTCACGGTGATTGTCTAGACTTTCTTGTGTTGAAAAGTTTTTAGCACAATATTCACATTTGAAACCTTTTTCTCTCGTGTGAACTGATAATATATGGTTGTCTAAATGGGCCTGATGTTGAAACTCTCTCTTACAAGTGTTGCAAATAAACTTGACACCCTCTTTCACTTTGTGAGTCTTCATATGTGCAGTGTATGAATGTTTATAATTAAATCT